TTTCTTCTGGATGCCACTGCACCAGAAGTGTTTCGACGAGATTAAAAATCTCACGTGTAAGATGCCAATTCTCAAGCCCATTATATGGGATGTCCCTGATAGCCTCTCTGAGGAAGAGAGGGGAGAGTTCCGAGTCTGGGTCATTACAGACACCTGCCCAGCAGGCGTTGGTGCAATCTTAGCCCAAGGCATGAACTGAGAATCCTCGCACCCAGCTGCATTTATGTCAAAGAAGTTTACTTCGACTCAGCGTTCGTACTTTGCGTACAAACTTGAAGCTTTGGGAGTACTGGAAGCTCTATCCAAGTGGATGGATGAGCTTACAGGTGGGTGGAAATTTACAGTTGTTACAGACCATAAAGCGCTCATGTACTTCAAAGAAAAACAACACATGTCTGGTGTCAGAGACCAGATTCGAGACGAAGGAATGTCTCCGTAGCGGAGGGCTTCGGCCTCAGCGACTTCTGCCAAGAGCGCTGTGCCTAGTGACACGTCCATGCCCTAACTTACTGACTGGCAATTAGAACCTAGGGGGTAACTCTAGTTGATTTTATTACTGGGGTGTAACCTATGTACAAGCGGGGTATATATATGGTTACAGCGAAGACAACAGGTCCGCAATTAGCGGAGCCGGACGGAGCGGAGCTAACGGGGTTAATCATTAGCCGACTGAATATTACTGACGAGTTGGGTCGCGGGGTTAGCGGAAAGGCAGGCGATAACCCAGATATGGAAAGGAGGGATAAGCCCGAAGGTAGGCTCTGCAGGGCAGGTGATTGTATTGCCCAGTGGAGGCGGGGGTGCACTAGCGGATGTCGGAGCTGTCCGGAAGTCTTCGGGGCTCCGTACTTAGGGAGGCATAGGTAATAAGTTGAAATGAGGGGGTGGTGACCATCGAGGGGTACCGAGAGGGTTGCGGAATATGGGGGCTCCGAGGTTAGTGAAGGAGGAGCGGGGTTAGACCAGAGGGAATGGAGGGACCGGAAGTCGATGGCCAGGAATGGATATGACATCTGGCCACCATATAAGATGGCAAAACTTCTTCTATGGGTTTAAATGCGACATAGTTTATGTCGAAGGTCACAAGAATAAAGTGGCTGCCCTTAGCAGATACTATGAGTCTTTGTCAGATGAAGACTTACACTACGATGATTTTGTCTCAGCGGACATCCACATAGATAAGCTGGGGGAGGATCTCCCTCTAAGCCATGTGGAGGAAGCTGAGGAAATGTTGTATCTTCACTGCCTGAGAGCTGGAAGCGTCCACCTCGTGGCCACAAGATTGGTTGCTGAACATGAAACCAGCGAAGTTTGTGAGCTTGAAGCCATGATCTTGGACCCCCTGAGAACAATTCAGGGAGGAGCGAGCTTGACGCTGTAGGAGGGCACAGCAAGTACCACACAAACAAGGCCAGAACCACGTTTTTCGAGGCTCCAACGAGCACCCTCAAGCCTCCGACACATTCACAATGCCCACGGAACATTTCCACATTTTTTCCAATTTTTTTCATGCTTTTTTTCTCAAGACTCATATTGCCACTTCCCCAAAATTCACGGATATCCACCATTTCCCCCATATCTCCACCAATTTTCCACCAATTCACACGATTTTGAGCTTGAAGGACAGCGACGGATCAGGAGAAGAGGATGGAAGGACGGGACGGGAGTTATAATGACGGATATGCGGTGGAGAAGCGAGATTGATGGCTGATATTGGCCTTATGGGCCTCAATTATTGATTTTATTGTTACCTTGTGGACATTTTTTTGCCTTATTGTTTCTTAGCCGAACTCTCAACATTCTTCCTGTTTCCATCGCCACCATCCATCGGCTATTTTACTTGTTTTTTGTTCTGATTTCTCTTTTTTTTCTAAATATACACCCAGTTTGCATTGTACTTACAGTTGTTGGACCCCTCATCTGTGCTACAAAGACTGTGGTGTTGAGCGACCCTTCCACACGTTTAAAGAGCTTAGTCTGACTCCCTGACGACTGTCCAAGAAGGACCAGGGTGAGTTCTGAGTTTTAAAAGAGTTTATTAGTATTGTGCACTTGCACTGGGACCGTGTGTGGCCTTACCGGTAGTAAGATTTTCTTTGCCCCCTTTTTCTTTTCTTGTTTGCTGCTGGGTTACATCCCTAGCACGCTTACAACGCTCACAGACATAGTAACTGATGAGGGAGACCTCAGATCAGTCATTGAGGAAGAGAGCTTCCTTGTCGCTGTAAGGAGCGGATATACCAGGCAGAATGCATGGCAAGGAATCCTGGAGAACCCCTCCCAATTTCCTAAATTTAAGGTCTCAGACGGCCTTATTTCCAGAGTGAATGACTTAGGGGAACCGCAACTGGTTCTCCCGGACATCATTCATAAAGAGGAGAGGGTGACTGGGATCGCCATTCAGAATGCACATGAAATCCTGGGCCATCTAGGATTACAGAAGACACTAGGATATCTTTGCAGATATTACTGGTGGTTGTCAGGGACAGCTCCGAAAGCGGTGAGGTCCCTGCACGCGGGACTCGGTGGGACGAGTAGCGGCTGTGCGTAGCGGCGATCCCGTCGTGGGGTGAGCATCCCTGACCACTTAGTCTGAAGTGGGAATATGAGAAGAAGGCTACTTCTTCGGTTCCCACCCCAGCCGTTATTATATACATGCGGGATCGGTCACGTGGGGGGTGCCACGTCACCCCTGCACACAGCCACGGCTCTCCAGGTGTCTCCACGGGAGATCCCGAGAGGGCTTGCTGTGGGTGTGGGGCGAGTGCGGCGGCAGTGGCAGCGATGTAGGGATGGTAAGATACAGGAGGGGAAATAGGCGTGCACGCCGGTGATACATTGAGCAGCGGGAAAGTGGTCCATGTGAGAGAGAGAGAAAGAAAGAAGGGAAGAAAGGAGGAAAGGAGGAAGGAAGAGGGAGAAGCGGTGCAGAGCAGGGGAGCGGAGCGGGGGTTGGGCGGGGCGTGCCCTGACAGTGGTCTACTATGGTATGCAACATGGAGAAATATATCTCCTCGTGCAAAAAGTGTCAGACCACTAAGAGGACCACACAGCGTAAGCCTGGGCTGTTGCACCAGCTGCCGATTCCAGAGACCCTGTGGTCCTCGATCGCAATGGACTTTGTAGCCATTTCCTAAAAGCCTGGAATATAACTACCTATGGGTGGTTATCTGTCGTCTCACTTCACAGGTACACTTGATACCTGTCAAGACGACCATAAATGCATTGGAACTCGCATATGAATTTCTTAAAGGTGTGGTACGCCTCCACGGACTCCCCAAGTCAATAGTGTCAGATCACGACACTAAATTCACATCTAAATTTTGGATGGAACTACATAGGCTACTGGGGGTCTGTCTGAAACTAACAACCGCTTTCCATCCAGAGGGCAATGGACAAGCTGAGCGGATGGTACAGAATGTCATCCAAGTCATTTGTGCAGCTGTTTGTCCTGACCAGCGTGACTTGGTACTTAAAGTACCCCTTACCGAGTTTGCAATAAACTCAAGCGTCAATAAATCCCCTTCGAGTTGATATATGGGACTATGCCCCATATGGTCATGGAGGTTCCACCCACAGACCTCCCTGGGGTAGGCACCTTCATGCAACAGGCATTGGATAACCTCCAAGGTGCTCATGATGCGATCATAAAAAGCTGCGTTGAACAACTGGTCCAGGCCAATTGGCATAGGCGACCTGATCTGCCTAGACTGAGAATCGGTGACCTCACCTATTCATCGACCAAGGACCTCAACCTACCCAAGGGACGAGCCAAGAAACTCCTCCCTAATTATGTCAGGCCATATGAGATCCTCGAAGCTTTCAAGGAATCTTCTAATTACACCTTAAAACTCCCAAATGAGTTAATTAGCCAGGAAATCCACCCCAAGTTTCATGTCTCTCGACTGGCTCCCCATGAGCCAAATGACTCCTTGCTATTCCTGGGACGTGCGGCCCAAGTCTTCTATGACTTTGGCAAGGATCCAGAGTGGGAATATTTGGTCCAAGAAATATTGGACCATGCATGGGACACAGACGGTGGTCTGTGGTTCCACATCAAGTGGGGTCTTGGAGATCTTACTTGGGAACCCTTATCCAATTGTGACAAATTAGTTGCATTGGATAACTACCTAATAATACATGGAGTAGAAGCGGTCGAAAGCTTGAGTAAGGAAAGCCGATTTCCTACTCCCATTACATGAGGGACCCTTAAAACTCCCCATTCCAAGCATCCTAAACGAGCCACCCATATAAGACTGGTCCTGTGACCTTACAAAGGCCACCTTTGGCACTAACTGCCAAATTGGGACATTGCCTCTGCAGAGGCAGGGTTGTTCCCATGGTGAAAATTTTCGCCTCCTTCTTCTGTATATATTGCTGAGGGGTGGAAGAAACTGCTTCCCCCGTTTCACTTCGTTCTCCCACTCATCTATGTCTGAATCAATGGATGGCGTCTTTGACAAAGATAAGGATGACTCAAATAACCGTGGCAAAAGCCCCTCGGTTACTAGTGGTGCAATGGACACCGACCTACCTGAATTGAACACGGTCCCCAGGCAACAGCCATCAATATCTGGCAATCACCCATCAGACCCTAATGGCGCTCCTGACACTCAGACTACAAAGCAACAGCTGATACCATCAGTACTGTCCTATAACAACCATAAGTTCGTCGCATGTCGCATGAAGATTTTGGATTGAATTGAAAATGAACATGATTGAATTGATTCGACGCCACCGGCAACTCCCGGAGGCCGTGGGAATGAACTAATGGTCGTTATACCACAGTATTGGGCCACCCCTCACCTATCCATGGTGAGTACATTCCACCTCAAACCCAAGTGGCTTGCCCACCATTAGACACCCAAATGATGGGTCAAGTGGGGCAAAACTATGTCCTGGATATGACAATGGCCGCAATGGGCCTGTCTTTTCCTAATTTCAGGCAGAATATGTGGGTTTATAACCCCAATGCACCCTGAGGCCAATTGCCTCCAGAAATGATGCAAGCTTCGGCTGCATATTCGACCGATGGAATACTTGGTCAGCTCCTTAAGGAAGCTAACAAACACATTCACCTGATCGATGGTGAGCTATCCCGGGAAGCGACCCATCGACTACACAAAGAAAACACCTCGCTTCATGAGGAACTTTTTAATGTAAAGATCGAGGTGGTGAAACTCGATCATGCATTGAACGATGTCTCTCATCATAGAGACTACCTTCACCACAAAAGTGATGACCTCTCTGCAGAAGTAAAGTCTTTCAAGGATGCCTGGCCTCGAAAAGTCCCCTTTAAGGGACCCCCAAAGAGGGCCCAAGGAGCCCCTCTGACATCGTCTAATGTATCGGTACACAACCATGCGTCTCAACTGGCGCCCCCTAAGGGGATGCAGGTGCCCTTTTCGAAACTAATAGATGGCCATTATGGCCCTCTCGCTGCTCCTATTCCCCCAGGACCTCAAGGGCCCACCCAACATGATGATAATCGTGACCTTATCCCCTCGGAGTACTCATGGTTCCAATTGCTGGACCAGAGTTGCCAGCCTTCCACTGGGATGTGGCGAAACGTCCCTATTCCAGGGTCGTTCTCCATTAACAATTTCCAGGACAGAGTCGTTATCTGTGGTCAACTATGGGTTATGCAGGGCCAAAATGATATTTGCCAATGGTGATGGACCCATTTTGTGTTCCCATTCCTGAACACCCCTGATGGGTTCAAATTTCTTATCGACCTTAACTGGATCGACAAACATGCTGTGAATGGCATTGATAATGCCCCACCAGAAGTGCGTGCTCAACATGCTCAATTCTATGAGATGAAGTTTGTTCCCGGACATAAACCGTCCGTATCTGAACTGGATGAACGGTTCAAACGCTTGGCATCATCAAAGAGGCAGGAATGAAATACATCCTGACCTTGTTTTGGAAACACCACCCATCTGAAGAGGCTAAGGTGAGAAAAGCGGTGAATATGACTGCTTATGGCTTATCCAGGCTACAAGTGGGCAAATTTGCACCGCTGCTGCCTACATCCTGCCCCGTCCAGGGGTTTCCGCCACCTCCTCCGGAGGTGAGCACTGTTCCTCCTCTCGACTCCGAGGATACATCAATGAGTGGAGAGTCAAGTTTCGTGGAACAGACTGAAGCCATTCCACCTGCAACCTTGACAACAAGGCGCTTCCCTGCAGCTCAGCGCCAGCATATGGCAGCAGCTGAGGATGATGGAGCCGGGCCTTTGACAAATCTGCAGGCCAATATGCCCGGACCTAGCAGCATGGTCCGAAAGGGAAAACAAAAAAAGGCCTAACCGCCTTTGTCTTATAACATGTCAGGGGACGACTCCCAGGTCCCCATGACCCACCCCTATGGTCCACAGCCCTATGGTGTAACCAGCCCTATCCAGGGGACAACCTACTGTGGGTAAGAAGATGAGAAGGAAGCTAACTTCTCATCTTCTGTCATATCCATCCCCGGCCATCGACTTCCACTCCCTCCGATCCCTCTGGTCTACCTCTGCTCCTTCTTCACTAACCTCGGAGCTCCCGTATTCCGCAATCACCTCGGTACCCCTCGATGGTCACCACCCCCTCTTTTCAATTTATTACCTATGCCTCCCTAAGTACGGAGCCCCGAAGGCCTCCAGACAGCTCCGACGTCCACTAGTGCACTCCCGCCTCCGCTGGGCAATACACTTGCTTGCCCTGCAAGCCCACCTTCGGGCCTATCCCTCCTTTCCGTTTCTGGGTTATCGCCTACCATTCCGTTAACCCCATAACCCGACTTGTTGGTAATATTCAATCGGCTAATGTCTAACCCCATTAGCTCCACTCCGCTCGGCTCTGCCATTTGCGGGCCTGCCCTCATTGTAACTATATATATACTCAACTTGTACATAGGTTACACCTTAGTGTCAGGGACGCGTCCGGGGTCGAGAGGGCCCGGGGGTAATGCCCGGCACTGAGGTCGTCGCGGGGTGTGGAGCGGGCGTGCGTACTGGCGGGCCCGATCCGGGACAGTGGTCCCTGGCCACTCAGACTGAAGTGGAGAATGTGTTATTATTATTAAAGAGGAAAACTATACTACTTACCTGAAGTGGAGAATGTGAGAAGAAGGTTACTTCTTCGGTTCCCACTTCAGGTACATTTATGTACATGCGGCTTGAGTCACATGACAGGTGCCACGTCATCCTCGGAGGCAGCCGCAGGCATCCGGGTGTCCCCGTGGGGGATCCCGAGAGCGTCCGCTACATGCGCGCGTGCTGGGCACAGCGGGAGGCCGTCCGGGGTGTGTGGGCCGGACGGGTCAATAGTACATCGATACAAGGGAAGGTGGTCCGTGTAGATAGAAAGAAATAAACAGGAAGAGGAACATGAGAAGAATGAAATAAAGAAAGGGGAAAGAAAAGGGAAAAGAGGGGGAGGAGAGGGAGGAAGGAGGGGGAGGGGGATAGACAGCGGGGAGCGGGTGTGGTGTGGCCGGGTGGGCCCGGGTGGGCCTGGGTCAGGCGGGTGTGCCCTGACACTTAGTAATAAAATTGACTAGAGTTTACCCCCTTCAGTTCTGGTTGCCAGTTTAGTAAGTTAGGGCACAGATGTGTTACTTGGCACTGCGCTCCTGGCATAATGTCAGGGACAGCTCCGGAGGCGGTGAGGTCCCAGCGCAAGGGACTCGATGGGACAGACGTCGGCTATGTGTAGCGGTGGTCCCGTTGCGGGGTGAGCATCCCCGACCACTTAGTCTGAAGTGGGAAGTTGAGGAGAAGGCTGCTTCTTCTGTTCCCACCCCAGGCGCTATAATATACATGCGGTTGGGGTCACGTGGGAGGAGCCACATCATCTCTGCACACAGCCACACTCCCCTGGGTATCTCTGCGGGAGATCCCGGAGGTGTGCCGCTCTGTGAGCGGGAATGCGCGCAGCAGGCACGGCGATTGGGGGAGCAGGGTTAGGTGTGTAGTAATACATAAAGAAAGGGAAGTCAACCATGGAACGGAAATAGAAAGAAAGAAGGAAAGGGGAAAGAAGAAACAGGGAGTGATAGCGGGGGAGCGGAGTAGGGCAGCACGGCGTGGGGTCAGGTGGGGTGTGCCCTGACACTCTCTCCCTTGGTGTTAGAACGTGCGGATTCGGACGACTCCGGAATGGAATCGGAGACTTATCATGGAAGGACCTTGGCCTCAGCGACTCATGTGGAGCGCTGTGCCATTGCTGGTTGTCCTAGGGGTCCCTAATTTCGGATCTAGCAGAGGGAAAGTCTCTTGGGGGAATTCAAGTTGATTTCGGACTGAGGTTACAAGTTACTAGGTACATTGTATATAAGGAGGGGTCCGGAATCAAAAGGAACAAGGGTAGGACAAAAGGAGACAAAGGGAGATGGAAAGAGGAACAACACCGAGGGTCAAGTGTTTGACTCAATGGTGTTTCCCAAAGGAGGAATGAAGGGCCAAGGCCCAAGAAGGAAGGAAGGAGGATGGGAGTCGGGAATGGCTAGCTGACTGAATAGAAGGAAGCAGCAGCCCAAATAGGAATGAGGGAGAATAGCGGAATTGAAATGGACAATGCAATAGTTGCAAGGTCCGGAGTAAGTCCGGAAAGTCCGAACTCGGAGGTTAAACTCCGGAATATTGGCAAAGGTAATTAAATGGAATGAGCTAACCAATACAATGGGTATAAGCGGAGGTGGGGTCAAAGTCCGAGGTCGGAGCTAAGACCGGAGGTTCCAGAGACGAGACGTGAACGGGATACCGGAGCGGAGGTCCGGAGTCGGGAGCATAGGGTTTGCGTACTCGTCTGGAAGGTGTCGAGGTTGGGGTCGGACCCGGAATGTTCCGGAGTTGGACCGAAGGTGGTGTTGGAGCCGGAGGTGGGATAACCTCTTGGGAGTCGGCAAGGAGAAAGTGACGGAAGGGAAGTAGGGCTCCGGAAGTCGGAGTTCGGAGTTCCAGGAGCCCGGAGCGGAGGTCGGGATTGTATGGATATGACACTTGGAACTTGAAGCTCTCCATGTGTTCTTGGAGGAACACTTGGCTTCTGGTTTTATCCACCCCACTACATCCTCCCATGCAGCACCAGTTCTCTTTGTCCACAAGAAGGATGGTTCACTCTGCCTTTGCATCAACTTCCAAGGACTGAACAAGATCACGAAGAAGGATCGTTATCCACTCCCCTGCACATCAGACCTCCTTGATGCTCCTAGCCATGCCAAAGTCTACACTAAGCTCGACCTCCACCATGCATACCACTTGGTCCATATTGCTGTGGGCGACAAGTGGAAGACTTCTTTTCGCACCTGCTATGGATCCTACAAATGGCTAGTCATGCCATTTGGTCTGACTAATGCCCCTGCGGCTTTCCAACGATTCGTCAACATGATCTTCACTGACCTCTTGGACGTTTCCGTGGTTGTGTATCTGGATGATATCCTCACTTACTCCGAGGACGATGCTTCTCACCAGGGGCATGTCCGTGAGGTTCTCTGGAGACTCTACGCTAATGGCCTTTATGCCAATCCGAAGAAATGCGAATTACACACTGATACTACAGAGTATCTCGGCTACTGCTTATCTCCAGCTGGACTCACCATGTCTGCAGAGAAGGTTAAGGCTGTTCAGGACTGGCCTGAGCCCCATAAGGTTAAGGATGTCCAGTCCTTCCTCGGCTTCGCAAACTTCTATTGGCATTTCATCCACAAGTATTCTGACATTGTAGTACCCTTGACATGGCTCATGCATAAGGATACTCCATGGCTCTTCTCTGATGAATGTCGCTCCACTTTCCATCTTCTTAAAGATGCCTTTACCTCCGCCCCCATCCTTACTCATTGGATGCCTGACACTCTGCTCATTGTGGAGACAGACGCTTCTGACTATGCAGTATCAGGGATCCTCTCCATCCATTGTTCTGACGGTGAGATATGCCCTGTCACTTTTCGCTCACATACATTGTCCCCACCGGAGTTGAATTATGACACCCACGATAAGGAGCTCCTTGCTATACATGAGGCATTTAAGGGCTGGCATCATTATTTAGAAAGATCTGGAGATCCAATTGATGTTGTCACTGATCACAAGAACCTCAAATACTTCTCCACTACAAAGCTCCTGATGCTGCTTCTGCCCTGGAAAACTCAGTGCCAAACCTGATGCATTGACTAGACATTGGGACATCTATCCCAAAGAAGGGGATATGGACTATGCTCATGTCAATCCACAGAACTTCAGGCCCATCTTTTCATCAGAATTTCTCACATCATCCCTACAAGCTACCTATCTGGCTGCTTCCATTATTGAAGCTAGTTCCATGGTCGATACAGAGACACTGCACATGTACATCATCTCCACACTTCCCTCAGATACTTTTGTATCTTCACATCTCTCCTCTCCCATACCTCCTGACTCTCGTTGGTCACTAGATGCTGAAGCCCTGTTGAGGCTGGATCACCGCATCTATGTTCCTGACCTGAATGATCTCCGACTTTGGATCTTGTGTAACAAACACAATCATCCGCTTTCAGGCCACTTTGGCCAGAATCGGATGCTAGATCTGATTCATTGAGATTACACCTGACCCAGAATCCGCACCTTCGTCAAGAACTATGTCTCCTCTTGTACATTGTGTGCCTGCACCAAGGTCCCTCACCACAAGCCTTTTGGCTTGTTGAAACAACTCCCCAT